TTGTTCTACTGCTCGTCGTAGGCCCGACATCGGAGTTTCCGGGCCCGGTTGGCGACGTCACCATCGAAGCCTGGTCCGACCCGCAAGGCCTGCTCACAGGTGGGTGGCCAATCAATCAGGAAACTAACAACGCCATCCGCGGCCTCGCCCCATCGAACACGGTCACCTTCAAGTACCCGGCCGAAGCGATTCCCGCGCCGGACCCCTGGCCCCCCACCCCGGTTGTCGATTCCATCACGGGCTAGCTAGGCTTCCAGGCCTCGACACCCAGGTCTCCCGAAATGGCCAGCCCGCGCGAAGGGCTCCCACACACACACTAGCCCCCATATGCCACTAGGGGGGGACGGGGGGGCGTAGGGAGTGCGCGGAGGGGATACAGCTGGCCGTTCCCTCCGACCACAAGGGTCGCGCCGACGGGCGGGGGGCGGCTAACGAATTATTTCTGGTCTCGAGCAAATCCTCGACTGCTGATTTCTCGGATTGAGTGGGGGGGGAGGGGGCGTTAGTGTATAGTGACTCTGTCTCTGGTGTGTTATGATCTAGTGAGCACATGCAGAAGAGTGTGTGCGAAGACACGCCTGTTGTTATCTTTGTTACTTACTATGAAGTGGGTTTGAATGTGAATTGTGATTGAGTTTTGAGCTTGAGAGCGGTTGCAGTTGGGTAGCCCTTGGACGTTGGAGGATGGAGCCGTAAAATATATGGCCGCAGCGCGCAGCTCCGGCCTCCGGCCACGAGTAGCGAGGGTGCGCAGCGTCCTAATCTAAAATATGAGGATTCAGGATTCAGGCATCGCTTCAGTGAGGCCAAAGTGAGTTTATGGATGTGTGAGAACGGTACGGGACGCGAGGAGTCACGCGGACCGACTCGTCGGTGACTCTGGTCTCTGCTGCACGCCGTTTCAGAATTTTTCTCAGCGTGAGCCAGACGTGGAAGAGTGCCAGCGTCGGGTAGGACGGGTCGGCCCGGAGCATCAGAGTAGCCGTTGTGGTCGCGGCGAGCAGCGCCGGCCACTCCGGCGCCGCGTCGGCAACACATGGGAGCATGTCCACCGCCACTTCGCGGTCGCAGCGCTCCTGGGTAGTCGACGGGCCCCCGGGGGCGACGGGGGTGCTCTTGGGGGGGGTCCCCCCAGTCAAGGAGGTCTGGGGCGCAGCCCCAGGAGGCAGGCGCCGATTTTTTGGGGATTTTTTGACTGATTTTCATGAGGTGTTGCTACTATTTTGGGACCAGTTGAGGCCTAAAAATGGCTACAAATACCCAGCCACAACAGCTGCTAGTCGTGAGCTCTACTGTGTGGCAGAGCCCAGAGAGAGGGCTTTCAGGAGCACCATTCAGTTTGATCCAGCTCAACGTTGCGGAGTAGTAACACTTGTCCGTTACCGTGAGCGGCCGGCGGCCGGCGGCGGCCGGTGCGGCACGCGGAGCACTCCGTGAGCGGTGACGGGTGCGGACGAGCGAATGAGAGGTCCCTTTCAGCGAGAGATAGGCAGTCCTAGTCTCTAACAACACGATTTGCTCAACTCCCGGTCCACACCCTCTACCAGAGAAGTACCTCTGGCGGGCCAAAGTCTTAGGCAAAGTGCAAAGATCGGACTCGCATTCGGACTCGCATGTCGATGATGAGACTCGACGGCGCTCGGCGGCACGGTCCAACGTCCATGGAGAGGCATCACGTCTCCATCGTCCATGCCGCCGTCAAGTCGGAGCCAGTCTGCGGCGACCACAGCACTCGCAGGAGGTACATGCGAGCTTTTCAGAGTCAACGGTGATTGCGCGAAATCCCACACTGACGCACACTGGTGGATTTTCATTTTGGGGCGCTGTCTACTGACGTACACGTACCCCCTACGCCCTACTGTACGGCTTTACTAGCGCCCCTACCGCAGGCCCGCGGCCGGCCGCGCAGGCGCACTGTGGCGCAGCGCATTAGGATTAGCCCCATTAATTACCACGACACCCACACGGACAACGCTCCAGGCCTTTACGCGTCCGGCTATATTATAGAGGGCCGACTCGGCCGTACGTAGTGCGCGTAGTCCCCCAAGAGCGTAGTCCGTAGACGACGAGAGCAGTGCAGTGCAGCGCCAGTGCAGCGCACAGCCCCCCTCCCCCGGCCGCACCGCGGCCGCCCGCCCCTCACTGCCGCTCCGCTACGACGCGGGAGAGGACCGCATGTCTTGAGCCGGGTCGGGCGAGCGGGTCGGCGAGCCCCCGACGGCTCAGACAACACCATTGACCTGCCAGACGTCCTTGCCGTTCATCTTCGCGCAGTCCGAGGCGGCCGGCTCGACAAACACATCGTGGGGCGCGTCGTCCGAGTGGCGGTCGGCGTCGCCTATTAACACCGCCGGCTGTGTGAAGAGACGCCGTTCACAGGCGGGCCTTGATGTCTCCAAGTCGCGGGGTCGGCGTCGCGCCGAACAACGCTCCTTTGGTCGCCTAAGGTAGTGAGGCAACGCGCTCTCAACGCCCCCTGTCTCGTCTCATCTATTCGATGAGAGAATTCGTGGAATGCAAGCGTGTCGCCTTGTTGATGAGGCGGTAGTGACCGGTTTGCCCGGGAACGACTTCCACCGGCTTGAGCTCCCAGAGCGCCCGGTCCTATGAACGAGTCCATTCTGACTGGTGCCGCTGTGCCCGTCCGTTCGCGACTGTCCGTGCGTGTGCGAGATCTTGGGCCCGGGGGCTGCGCTTGAGGGTGGTGGTGTGTGTGGTTGGCGGGGGGGGGGGGGGGGGAGGCGACAAAGGGAGCGACGTTTCTACATGAACTATGTCTCGGCGGATCTCGGAGCCTCGTCCAGCTCCGTCTTTGAGACGTACGCGCGGTACTGGCCGTCGTCCTCGGGCTGCTTGCCGGCGCTGAGGTAGTATGGCCCTCCCCCCTGCGGCGCTTCGGCTGGGGACAGCTTGTAGTACGGCCTGGGGGCGGAGGTAAGGGAAGACAGGAGCCCAAGGCATAAGCAGGGAGGCCGTCACTATCTCGGCCACACCTCGGCTTATCTCGGGCGATATCTTGGCAACCTCTCGGCTACATCTCGGCTACATCTCACCAGTCCTTGCCCGCCTCCCCCACAAGCGTGAGCTTCCAGAATTCGGCCGCCTTCGGCGGGGCGGGGCCGACCATGGCCACATCTTGTTCCGCGGTTGAGAAGAGCTTCCCCTTCCAGGAGACCGGGAAGAGGGCGAGCCGGTACTTGCTCACGCTCGGGTTGGGGATGATCGGCGGCCACGGTGGCGGCGGCGCCGGGCAGCACTTCTTCAGGCACGGGAAGTCCTAGCCGTTTCAACCCGTCAAGTAATGGACTGTGTGGACTACATTCATGGTTTGTATAGGCAGCGGTCGGCACTTCTTGAGGCGTCGAAACTGCCGCGGCTGCCGCGGCTGCTGCGGCTGCTGCGGCTGCTGCCGCCGTCACCGCTGCCGCACTCCAATTGACGCTGCTGCTGCTGCTGCCGTCACCGCTGCTGCTGCTGCTGCTATTCTTGCTAGACACCATTGCTCTCTCGATCATATCTTGGGCGGGGCAGGAGCCTCGACGAGGTTGGGGCCGTTGAGGAGAATGGGCGGGTAGGTGCCTAGTCATGAACAAGGTACGGGAAGGGAAGGTGAGTTCTCCACACTCACCCACAAATTGGTGGGGCGGGGGGGGGGGGGGGGCAACCTTTGCATCTCCACAAAGTCAGTCAGGCAGGCAGGCAGGCAGTGAAGGCAGTGGTACGTACACGTCTCTGCTAGCACGGACGGTCGATGGGGCACACCCACTCGCGGGACACACACACGGGCATCACACACGAGGCAGCAGCGGCGCACTCGCACGTGCACGCGGACGATGATTGGTCACGGAAGGAGAGGCGGATTCTCAGTGACCACGAGACATGAGTGCAGGAGCAGTCAGAGGGGGAGCGGCGGGCGGGTAGGGTGCACCTCCGTTGGCGGGGATGAGGTCGGGGCGCTGCGGGCCTAGAGCACACAACAATGAGCTAGATCACTCAGTCACCATGCTCTTCGTGGACGGGGCCGCGAGGAGAGGGTCGGGGCGCTGCGGGTTTTGAAGAGACACACCACGCGATCTCACCACCAGCGGTGCAGTGTGCCTCGTGCCGCGGGGGAGTCATGCAGCGTGTGTGTGTGTGTGTGTGTGTGTGTGTGTGTGTGTGTGTGTGTGTGTGTGTGTGTGCGTGTGTGTGTGTGTGTGTGTGTGTGTGTGTGTGTGTGTGTGTGTGTGTGTGTGTGTGTGTGTGTGTGTGTGTGTGTGTGTGTGTGTGTGTGTGTGTGTGTGTGTGTGTGTGCGCGCGTGTGTGTGACTGTGACTGTGACTGTGCCTTTGGCGTGAGCGAGACGTTGACGTCCACGAGGCCGCCCGGCTTGAGGCCGCACACGCCCTCTCCCCACTTGCCGGGCAGGAAGTAGCCTGTAGATTAGTCAGAGAGGAGCCGTGGCTCAGTCACAGAGAGTAGAGACATGAAACGGTCGAGCTCTGAGACGAGACGGGATGAAGCTAGGGACATGCACATGCACGATGCGTCTACGCGCCTACATATCTAATCTATGACGGGGCGAGCCGAAGAGGTTGAGCGAGAGAAGCCAGCTGCCGAGCGCGTTCCACTTGTCGGAGAAGGAGTCCTCCTCGAGGCGGCGATCCTCGTCCTATATGGTTCATCAGCTCGGCCGTTCATTCATCATTGTGACAGGAGAGCTCCTCGAGGCGGCGGCTTCTCGTCCTCTTCGCTCATCTTGGGCAGCACCGACGCCTGGCGACACAGGTAAGGTAAGGTAAGGTAAACTTCTCCACGCACACACGAGGTGGTGGGGCAAGGGGGGGCGACCCTCGCGTCTCCACGTCTAACGACAGGAGCCCCACGGCATTCAAAGTGCAAGGCCCGGTGCGCGTGGGTGAGCGGTGTGTGTGTGTGTGTGTGTGTGTGTGTGTGTGTGTGTGTGTGTGTGTGTGTGTGTGTGTGTGTGTGTGTGTGTGCGTGTGTGTGTGTGTGTGGCGACACAGTGCCGGACCGCGACACGCTGAGATAGATAGTGGTTCAGCTCGGTCTCTTGTTGGCCCAGGACGGCGGTTATACCGCGGCTATCTCTCGGGCTATCTCTCGGGCTATCTCTCCGCTATCTCTCCGCTATCTCTCCGCTATCTCTCGCCCTGTGCAGAGCCCCTTCCTCATCTCCGGCATAGATCTCGAGGGTCTCTAGACTACACACAGCCGACTCTCGGTCTATACCTCGCCTTGAAGAGTGCCGTCCCCGCAGGTCCGGTGCCAGAAGCCAGCCACCGCGCGTCGTCGCCCGACCTGTTCACAGCCGGTCCGGGTGAAGAGACGCTGCTCACGCCTCGGTCGGCGCGCGCGCCGCCGCCGCCCGACTTTGAGACAGTTCCGCCGACGGTGGCGTAGACGAGCGGCTGGTTGACAGTGCCGATTCGCAGGGTGAGGAGGCCGTAGGTCTTCTGGTCCTCGGAGCTGGTGCAGTTGGAGTGCTCGGGCGAGCAGCCGAGGCACGAGGAGGCGCAGTAGCCGACTGGGTGAGAGGGGGGGGGGGGCAGTTGGACGAGAGAGTGTGCCTATTTGCGTCGCGAGGTATGTACGGAGGCGCGATGCGGCGCGAGGCGGTGCCATTCCCCCTCTCCATTCGCCACTTTCCCCTCCACGGTCGAATGCTGCTGCCCACTCCCTCGTTGTGCAGAGAGGCATGGCGGGCGCGGGCGAGAGCGAGGCGCGGCGCGCATTTGAAGAGGTACGGCGTCTCGTGCTTCTCGCACTCGTCTGGCTCGGACGGCGTGTTCGTGTACGGCTTGCCTGTACGCACACATCTCCAATCTCGCATCTCTCAATCTCGCGTGGCTCGCAGTGCTGGGCAGAGGCTCGCGTGGCTCGTGCTTCTCGCGGCAGTCGGCGATGTATTTCGGGGTCGGAAAGTCGCAGTCTGGCTTCTTGACCTGCGATTGCGGCGCGATGAGGATGGTGGCTGGGCGTGTGAATGGGCAGGGGGGTCGTGCGTGGGTGCGCTGCCTGAACCATCTGGTGCCCTTGTGTGTTGATGCCTTGAGTGATGTGGCACCCTGGCTGGGCGCCGTCTTTTGAGGTATTCACAGATAGGTTGATAAGAAACAAGAAGCGGACATCGTGAACAACCGCCGGCGCGCGCTAGCTAGAGCTCACACTAGAGGCCGTCATCGCATTCGCCTTCCTTGTACCCAGCGCTGGCTTCTGACTGTCGTTGCTGTCTCTCCCTTCTAGACTGTCTGTGCTTGTGCGTCTTGCTTGGGTCCGGGGTTGTGTTTTTCTATATGAACCCGCCTCGCAGAGAAAAGATAAAACTAGCTGAGCCGCGACCGCGACCGCGGCTCTCACTCGAGCTCAATCTGCCCATATCAGCGTACCGGAACCGTCCGACCAGCGACTAGCACACCTCAAGAGAGAGTCCCCCTCCCTGTCCTCCTGTGATGCACGCCCTGCGAGCGGGGCGGGAAGGTGCGCGCTGTGCCTCTATGTTCGTGCGTCGCGCATCTCTCCTGGAGATACCTGATATTTGTTTAGAAAAGAAATTTACAACAAAACTCCCTCGGGCACGACACTGGTTACCAAGAACTGGCACGGGCTGCAGATGCAGCGCTTGTCTGTCGTTCTCCACACCGCCGTGGCGTGGCAGACGGTGAACGAGCTAGCGTGCGGGGACAGCGGCATTGTGCACGGTGCTAAGTGCATTGCCGTTCTTAACGGAGTCGCTTAGGCGGCTCCGGTGGTGTGCCGGTGATAGTACTAGCACGCGCCAGTTCGCACCTGTGTCGAGCCTGTGTGCTGTAAGAGAGAGTTCTTTTGTTTAAATTCTATTTCCAAATTCTTTTCCCTCGCTACCCAACGCGGCCAAAGCGCAAAGGATATCCACCTCGAGAACAACCTCGAGAAATTCTAATTGTAGCCGCCTCGTGCTGTGCGACCGCCTTTCGTTGCAAAATTCTTCTTTTGTTTTGTACGCAAGTACATGTACTTTTCTCTCTCTGTCTCTATTTGTATGTGTACTTTTAGCTTACTGGGACAAAAGGGAGAGTATTCGTACGTTCCGAAAAAGCAAAGCGAAAGCCGTAAACGGCGTCGAGAGCGCGCCGATTTTGATCGACAGTCGAGATTTGCACGTCACCAGTGACCTCGAGAGAGGAGGGCGAGACGATCGAGCTCAAATGCGCGTCTTCTTCGTCTTCTTTGTCGCCGCCGCCCTGCTTCTCGGCTGCGCCACCGGCGAGCCGCCCGCCAAAAGGTTGGCGGAAGGGGTCACGGGCCTGTCGCGCCCGCCATCTCCCGCAGCTCGCCGCCAGCTGGTCGAGACGAGCGACGTCGACCACCCCATCAGGGCTTTCGTGTACCCGCTGCCTGAAAACTTGACTGGCGAGTGGCTATACCAAAACCTGTCTGCCCACGATGCGAATAACCAGTGGGCGGCCGAACGCGAGATGGTGAGGGGCCTGAGCGCGAGGCTCCAAGGGCAGGAGGCGCCTGCAGCCTCCGCCGATGTCTTTGTCGTGCCCGCCTACATGACACTGGGCTTCATGAGAATGCGTACGACAACCCACGGCCGGGCGCAGCTGAGGGCGTGGAACAATGATGTGATCGCCTTTATGAGAAGCTTTGGCCCGTGGTGGGATTTACGGCGACGGGCCCATGCCGTATTTGCACTGCGGTGCGGCAACCGCCACGGCTTGCACAGGGGGGATTCCGGAAGCTCGTGGCCAGAGCTGTGGAGTTCGAACGCGACGCTCCTCTGCGTTGAGCCCGAATCGCTTCGACGGCACGGTCACGGCGTGCTGCTGCCGTACCACACCAAGGGCGGCTGCCCGTCGCCACCGAGTTCTCATTCAGCGCGGCCCCATGTCATCCTCTTCCGCGGCTCAAGCCAATTGACGTGGCGCCGGCATTGGGTAGCAGAGATGACTCGCATCGGCCCGCCCGACTGCGTGCTGCAGGTGCTTGCAGGTACAAACCGGACCAGCGGGTCGGGCGTGTCTCTCAGCTACTCCCATACCCAGTGGGCTCTGACCCTCCGCGGTCACACGGGCGTGCGCAAGGCCTTTTTCGACGCGATACGGTGCGGCGCGCTGCCTCTCGTCGCTAGCGCGCACACACCGCTTCCCTTTGCGGACGAGATCGACTACTCGTCCTTTTCGTTCCTCACCTCCGAGGGAGCTCGCGTCGCATCGATCGTTTCGCAGCTGAAGGCGCTGCCCACGGCTCGGCTTGCGGCGATGCGTGCGGCGATGGACACGGCCGCGCCGCTGCTCGACTACCGCCGCGGGGCGATAGATGCCGTGCTCCGCCGCGTTGCGCGCCTCGCCGCGGGGTCCGACGAGGTGTTTTCGGCGCTTCCGCCATGCAATGGATGCTCTGACACCTCCCGTACGCCAATCCGGAGCATTCTTGTGGCGTAGTCGGCTGTTTTTGTGCAAAAACAGCCGACTAGATCGCCACAAGATGCACAAGACAGCCGACTACGCCACAAGAATGCTTCGGATTCACTCGTGGCACACATTGGGCTGATTGGCCTCCACAGCCTTAAGCCGTGATGTGTAGCGGGCCTACTGCTGCTGAGAGAAACGTATTCGTATAGATTCGTCACGTTTTGGTCACCAGCCTTGAGACCCTTCGTCAACCACAATGGGCCGCGGTCGCAAAACCGAACCCGCAGTGAGTTGGCCAGAACGCAATCAAGCGTCAGCCTTATGCACCTCTCCATGCGTACGTATCCCTATGACGATCGGCCGTCGATCCCGAAGGGTCGTCGGTTGAGCTAGGGAGCCTGGCGATGGACGCCACCGCGACCCCTCGTGGCATCTCTCTCGCCGTCGGCGAGCCGGGGCTCGCAGACGGCCGACTTTCTATATGACCAGTAGGACAGCCGTGAGTGTGAATCGGATAAGGAGTTTGCGTCCGTCCACCGTCTTCGTGGACGTCTGTCCTCGTGACACCCACACCCCACACGGCCTGTTTTGCTTCTACGGCGAGCAGCTTCAGGGCAGCGCGGTGCTGGTCGAGGGCGACAACACCGCCGCCATCGGCGCCGCGCAGAACCAGGCGTCGACGGCGGTGTCGATGCAGGAGACGCTGCGCCGGCTGCTCGAGACGGCGGAGAGGTGGGACATCGAGCTCCGCTTCGTCCACACGCCGGGCGTGCTCCTCCACCGGCCCGACCAAACCTCGAGAGGCGATCCCATCGAGGAGCCGCGGGTGCGGCTAGCGGCGGCGGAGTTCGCCGCCATCGAGCGCCTGACGGGACGTTTCACCGAGTTCGTGGGCGCCGAGAGGCGACACGCCGCCGCCGAGGTCGGGGCGCAGCACAAGTGCCCGGGTGGAGGCAGCCCCCAATCCCCAGGTGGTGAGGATGGGTGCTTCGGTGGCGGGCTTGCCGCCACAGTCGCGGGCGGCAAGCCGCCTCCCCACCTCTGGGTGCACCCCACGCACAGCACGGTGGGCTCCGCCCTGCGGCGTGTGGGGGAGCGACTTTCAGAGGCGGGCGGTCAGAGGATCAGTGGAGTCGTGGTGGTACCGGACGCACCAAACGCAGGCTGGTCTCGACTGCTTCGCCATTTTTCAATATTGGGACGCTATGCCGTCGATGATGGCCCTCAGACCCGGGGGGAGGGGGTAGTCGAGATGCAGCAGATGGGGACACACGGCCTGTTTTGCTTCCCCACCCACCCTCCCTATTTTGTGTGCGCTGTCGCGTTTTGGGGTTGGTCCTGCAACGGTGTCTCGTGCGGAGCAGTGGTGTGCTGTCGCGCGAGGGTTGCAGGCGTGAGGGTCGAGGGTACCTTTTCCCCCCTTTGCTATTAACAATGCTTTGGAATCTGTGAACATGACCTCGAGTGGAGCCCCAGTCCTCGACAGGCTCGACCAAGTGCAGGCCACCGGAGCTCAGATCCTCGCATACAGAATGTACAGAGCTATGCTCCATTCTCGTAGAGAGCTCGAGCCGGTAAAGTGGGGGGGTGCCAAAAAAACAAAAGATTGCGCCCCACCACAGAATCCTGGCTGCTCGCGAACCGAGAGAAAGAGGCGTCATGGTTTGCAAGGCCACGATCCTGCCACGGGGTCTCAGATGAGGCTCGCAAGGAAGCCACTGGGCAGGTAAGCGGACCCGCTCGTCCCGCGTCGCGCATACTCGGTCACATCGACCTTTCAGGTCCGCATCCTCCTCTCCGCACACCAGTTCGGACGTGCAGGGGCTTTGCCGGAAGGCTGGTCGAGCTGTGCAGTGTGCACAGAGGCGGGCGTGCGCGCGCGTGCGCGCGCGTGCGCGCGCGCGCGTGCGCGGCCAGGGCGCAGGCAAGTGCCTGAGGGTATGGGGGTGGGCGCCACCCTGGGGCTACCCATAGCATCGTCGGCTCAGTGATGGCCTATCCCGAGTTTGGCGAGAAACGCCTTTTTGGGCGACGTGGTCTTGCCCATCCTGGTCATCAGGACGCTCTTTGCCTCCGCGACCAGCACAAAGACGTATGCGAGAGCGTCGCTGTCGAGCCGCAGGATCGGAGCATCCGCATGTGCCGTCTCTGCATCCTTTCTCGCCGCCGAAACCGCGTCGCCACAGTCGTCCGCAAATTTCTCGCCAGTGGAGTTCTCCTTCTTCTCGTCGACCGCCTCGTCGCAGGCCGCCATCTCGTTGTCAACTGCCAGTCGATGCCAGCCCTGACAGCTCTATCTTCTTCCCGCGCACATCCCCGGCCCCGAAATCACGCTTCAGGCCCTGCGCGAAATCGACGATATCAAACCCGTCTGCGGTGCAGCGACTGTCGGTGCAGCTCTGGATGGCGCTCGCGGACGAGGCACAGCGCGCCATTGGTGCGGCGTCACGCGGCCGCGAGGGACCGCGGGGGAATGCTAGTGGGATGGGGGGCTCTGAGGGGAAGGGAGCGGGGGGCGCCCAGAAGGGCGCCGGCACCCCAGCGTAGGTAGAGGGCGTCGGGTAGCCCTCCTTTTGGTATAACAAATCACGTCTGTCTCTAACCGGTGGAGGCGGGATGCTGGGGCGTGGGGGGGCCGCCTTCCCCCGCGGCGGCAGAGCCACCGGTCGCCCCACCCCCTATCCCCCTAACGCCACGCGTAGCAGTTTTTTCTTCTTTTCATACAACGCGCATTGGGTGAGCTCCGCGGCAGCTTGGCGGATGGCCGCTCCGCAGCAGACCGAGAAGTCCGGCGGGCTCTGGGCGAAGCAGGTGGCGCTGCTCCTGGTGATCGGCGCTGCCACTGCGTACTCCGCCGTCAGGGCGTACAGCACGCCGGAGGACAGCGGGCCCACGTATTGGCTGGTGTGGTGGTATGGCTGGCTCACGGCGCTTTCGACGGGCCTCGGCGCGGCGCCGATGCTCTTCGTCAAAGGCGCGCTGGCCGCCGGCCGCTCCGCCTCGCGGCGCACGCCGCTCACGCCCGCCGCCTCTCCCTCTCTCTCTCTCTCTCTGCAGGCGTCTCGGAGCACTTGCTGGGGAGCGCGAACGCACTCGCGGCGGGGATGATGACGTCTGCGAGCGCGGCGCTGCTGATCGAGGGCCTCAAGCTGCCGCCCACGGACGGCAGCACGTGGAGCCCGCCGCAGCTCGTCGGCGCCGGCGCCGCCGCCGGTGTCCTCTCCATTCTCGCGTCGCAGCGGCTGCTGCGTGGCTGCGAGGCGACCGACCCCATGTCTCCCCATATCTCCCCATTTCTCCCCATTTCTCCCCGTATCTCCCCGTATCTCCCCATATCTCCCCACGTGGCTGCGAGGCGACCGACCCCAACCCCCACCGCTCAACCCCCACCCCTCAAGCCCCACCCCTCAAGCCCCACCCCTCAAGCCCCACCCCTCAAGCCCCGCCCCTCCACCCCCACCCCTCAAGCCCCAGTCCACCCCCAGCTCTCAACCCCAACCCCACCCTCCACCCCCAGCCCTCGAGACCCCGCCCCTCGACAACCCCTGCACGTCTCGCTCGGGATCCCAGATCTCCCTTTATCTCCCCAGATCTCCCCAGATCTCCCCATACCTCCCCGTACCTCCCCATACCTCCCCATACCTCCCCATACCTCCCCGTACCTCCCCGTACCTCCCCGTACCTCCCCATACCTCATACCTCCCCATACCTCCCCATACCTCCCCGTACCTCCCCATACCTCCCCATACCTCCCCATACCTCCCCGTACCTGCCCGCACCTCCCCATA